ACTTCGTATAAAGCAAACTTCCTTCTACTATTTCACCTAAGGACAAAGAAGAAGGTTGTAAAACCTCTCATAGCAGCGCGAGTCACATATGCCTTTTGCATTTTACTTTGCATCTAAATAGGATGGCAACAAAAGCCTGTTCGAATTAATGTAAATGGCAAACTTTCTTTAACTATCAGGACATCTCTCTTAACATAGTTCTGGAAAATATATTTATTTCACTTGTACACTCAGGTTAATTCACTTACGTTTATTTATTTCACTAATATATCAATGCGGGCAATTTCTGAACTTAATAACGTTAAGTATATTGCATTCTATTACCGTTATTACCGTATATTCAGTTTCAGACATTTGCAAAAGCCTCGATTCACTCTAAAATCAGTGTTGCCCATTTACATGTATATAAACGACTTACAAGACAAATCCGAATTTTATATTTTGCTGAATTACGCTTAGCTTCTTAGCATGACTTACTTCAAAATCCAAGTTAAATTATTTTTATTCCTCTTATATTTGCACAATCAAATCGAGGGTTCCTAATCACGTTTTAGATATTCTAAAATAACTTTATCATTATGTGACATTCCTCGCCGCCAGATCCGGTATGAATCTTCTCCTTCGTCTTACCTGCTGGTTGGATGTGTGGTTGTTACGAGAATCACGACTCGAACACGAAGGTAACACTGGAATTTTGCCTCCTCTGAGGTCTCTAGCCAGCCTCTGTGAATGGATTGATACACTGCTAGGCTTCCTGTCTCATCAGGATCAAGTCATTGTACAAACTTGTATGGAATGTCTTTACACAATCATATCATCATTAAGAAAATTACCTTCAATCTGGCGAGTTTATGATGTGGTGAATGCGAATGGTTCCCTGGTCGAAAAGCTATTTAGTCTTATCAATGCGGAGTCAAGTACAGGTAAAAGAATGGCTTTGTGTCGATATTAATTCGATTGCGAATATCTGTTATCGTGTTACCTAGTTTATATACTGTCAACGTATGATGTTGCGTAATAATGCAAATAAAAATATAGACCTTTAAATAATGAGCATAATTAGTTTTCCAACATATCCGATTTCACCTTGCATATCACCTTGCTGATGATGAAATTGATTTCCTAATTTGCAGCTGTATAAAAACATTCAGAATCGGGTAAGATTTTTAGATGGGCATATAAATAAATATTATTATATAGTATAATATTATTTTATGAATGTCACAGTAGCTATTGAATATTGCTTTAAACCTTATCCCATTTAGGCTACCTTAACTTGGAGCTTCAGCGACTTTATGTCGTCTCAGAAAGATTCCTCATCTTCGTTAGATTAGCAGTCCAAAGATTTGCAGCTTATCTACAAATTAGTGATTGAATGGAAAACTTGACTTACATTTCTAACTTGATTGAGATTTTGAAATTGAGAAAAGATTGTTTTTGATATAGGTTTGTTCGTGTATCATGAAGTAAGGTTTCAGTGATAATTTGAAGCCTACGGGAAATTTGTTAGGATTTTGATTACGCGATCTGAGTTTAAAGCAAACTGAGCAAATATATGAGATTCAGGCGAGGCCAGAACTGTCATTAAATCTAGATGAAAAACATATTTTGAAAACAGCTGATTATGAAATTCATATGCAAAACCGAGCTTCCATTTCTGGCCATCAATTAATGCTTCTTCATATTTATAAATTGTTCATCTACACTCTTCTTTAGGGTGTATGTATTAAATTGATAGCTTTTACTTCTACCTTTGCTCTCCTTGGTTTACACCCTAAATTTTGGTATTTTCTAAGCACATTATTATGACTTGCCTTCCATGTATACTCTCCTATGCACTTCATTATAAAGTTTTTCCTGTTCATCTCTCGAATGTTTGGTCTCTTATGAGAGCTGCACATTAATGACTACTTTGAAGGCTATGCCTAATTCGATTCCTATCACTGCAAGTATTGCCTTTTTGTTATAGTTGATTTGCTACTCGTTATTATTCAAACAAATTCATTGAATAATAGACTATAAATCGACATTAGATCTTAGATATGAAGACAAAGATGGTGTTGCCTTCTGTTTCGTCGCAGTCTCCTTTAGCTCCATAGTGCTGGTTCGACCCTGTTTTTGCAACTTGGTCAGAGCGTCAGAGATACCTTGTAGAATGTACATAGTCTCGTGTCCTCTGTAATAGTATTCGGGCTTTCCAGCATTGGACCATTGGCTGGGTGCATTTCCAGCCACATTTGCTAAGTGGCAACCTCGAGCCATTAAACTATTGAGTCATTCTTTTGTGTAGCCCATTCTTTAGTCTTTGCTACTCTTCAGTAATATATACTATAATCATTCAGCCTTTGTTCTTTCAAATAAGCCAGTAGGAAAAATACAATACATGTCTCATTATGTTGATAGGGTTGCATATCAATATTTAATTTCCCAGTCACGATTATTCAGCAAAAATCAAAATATTAAGATAGCTAGCGGCTTCACAGATCACTAAGTTGTGCACTAACTTTTATTGATATAGCTATTTGAAAAAGGACATTATAGACAATAGTTGCTGTCTGACCTCTCCATATATTATTTTATTTTCCATTTCCCCTCTATTCGTTTTTACGTGTCCACTTGCATGGTGTAACCACAATCGTCATTCTATATTCTCTTCGTGCTTATTTATAGTAGGTCTCACTTCCTACCTATCAAAGGGGCCTCTGACCTCACAAATGTATCACATAGGAAAACTGAACTTGAGTCTTCATTTTATATCGTCTATTTAAATACTTTACTCAAGGAATGTTTGCTTCCCCATACTTAACAGACCCTGACATTTATACTTGTTTTTTATATGCTTTTAAACGCCAAATTTTGTCCATAGTGCAGGATTTTGTAGGAAAAATTTTTAATAGTTTTTTTTGCAATATTTTCGCAACAATACCTATTTAGGAGCTATTTGATGGCTAATGTTCAAGATAAAAGAAATTATGGGCATCCACCATTTTTTTGCTCATCCTATATAGATCAAAACCCTGATTATTTGAAATCGAATAAAATTCACTTTCCTGCTGACGAAGCAACAGAAGTGCCACCGAGAAAGGCTCCTCCTGTGACGTCAATAAATCTGCAAAGTTCATCTGCCATCCTAGTGGTTGATTTACTTCTCAGTCTATGTCAACACGAGCCAAGCCTTTTGCGCCAGGTCGTCGAGAGTGAAGCACTTGCTCACCTTCTAGATGCCGCTATTTGTGATCCACCAACTAATGGTAGTCTGGATGGTTCCTCCATTCCTTCCGCTATTGATGAGTAAATATTCTTAGTTTTAATAATAGCATTATTTTGTTATGATAACTGGTTACTCTACTAGCTCTGTTTGGTTCGTTAATATTAAAACTTTACTGGATGGAAACAATCTTAGGAGCATACTGTATTGGATTTACTCAGGCTGTCAGATCAAGAACACTATTTATTAACTTAGTCATTCACTCAGTTGGAAAAAATCCTTAGAGACATTTAAATTAAATTTCTCTATTGGCAATCTCAAGGGTATACAAATGTTAATTTTAACAGCAAATGCGTTGTTAAAATTGACACATTTCATCAATATTGCACTGCCTATTATTATTTAGTTTCCATTTACTTGCCTAATCTCTCATTAATCAAGATTTCAGCAAATTATAAAGACCACTTTTGATTGCAAAATTGTTTTGATAAACTTTGCTGAGTAATATGACCTACTAATTAAATGCAACTGTTCTAACTTCTCTTTAGACAAGGTTTTCTTTATAGGTGATAAGAATCGTGAACAGGTCTGGCAAAAGTAGTAGGCAATTTCTGAGTTAAGCAAAATAAGTCTGTTATCTCATCTCACCTGTTCGCTGATTTGATAATATTTAATCATAATTTTGGAATATTATTCTTCCACAAGTAACCTGTAAATCAGCTTTCATATATGTTTATCAGCGATCTTATCACAATGTACCATCAAAATTAAAGCGGAGTAGAAACTAAATCACTTTACTTCACCTAAGATATTGTTAGGTCTAAGGTAAACTTATCTAAAGTGGACTGCATCTTCGACCTTATCTATGTCCTATTATCTCCCCTAATGACATTTGTATCCGGTTAGTGTAGCATAAAGTTTCAAGACAATAACCATTATGCCATACTGTCACTTTTTCCCTTGGGTCACAGGGGAGAAGTGAATTTCG